TGTTTTTTTTTTTTTTTTTTTTGAGAACGGACGAAAATCGGTGCGCGCGCAGAATGTCATCCATAAAAATAAAAAAGTGTGGCCTAACGTGTATTCAACAGGCCTGAGAGTATCCACCCTGCATTCATGGGTATATAGGCCTAATGGCCGAAAGGTCCCGGAAAAGATTTTGATAATTTTGTAGTTGTGATAATCATTTATTTTCATTCTTCAGTCCTGTAAAGCGTTTTTGATTGCATATTTCTTGAGAATTGAAGCTCTTCACCTTTTTTCAACATTTTGACATACTTGGTAAGTACTTTGATCATACAGTTAATAGACTTTGAAAATGTTTTGACAAAGTTCAAGTAAAAACCGGGCCATCAAGTGTCCGACAGATTCGGAGATACTTTCTTTGCGTTTGTAGAATATGTGAATACCATTTCAGCTTTCAAAAACGATGGTCGACTGTATGCCGTCTTCAATAAGCTCGGGAAGGCCTTTGATGACATTTTCACGATTAATTTAGGTACTCATTTGTTTCTGCAATTGTATCTGAACAATGGTTCTTGACTTAAATAGAATACTTTTTTTAAAACGCTTCAACATTTATTTTGATGCAGATATTGAAATGGTATGCATATTTAGTTTTGCTGTATTTGGATAGCTTGCAATGTATATCACCTTGTAGGGATTTTAGATTATTTCAGAAGGCTAGAAATTAAAATTCATATCAATAATATATCAGTACATTTTCAGGTTTTGGACGATCGTACGTTGTTCTTAAATCTGCGGAGATTGTTCACGAGGCCATGGTTGAGAAGAAAGAGATATTTGCGGGGAGAGATGATGAGGGCTGGAAATGTGAATAAGATTTTAAAAGAATTAAAAAGAATACGCAGTTTCATCAGAACATGTTATGTTCCAAAATGAAATTCAAACGCATTATACTTATTTGATGATGTAATGCAATGAATTGCCATTGGTCGTACAATATAGCCTACATTTAGAGTCAAGTCGAAGAAAAATCACTTAAAACAATATTTAGTTCGATGGATTAATATTATTATTATTATTATTATTATTATTATTATTATTATTATATGGATAGTGTGTTAGTTGGTAAGTTTCAGACCAGATAAGTGTTTGTTCATTTGGTGTGACCGAAAATTATTTACCTATATTTACTAGTTGTTCACTTTTTTCAGATGAACTTGTCACCGAAGGATATAGAGATATAGCATTTGCCGACTATGGTCCAGTGTGGAGACTACAGAGACAGATGGCTTTAAAGGCTTTCAGGTATATTAATCAAAATAGTGGTCACACGAATTGTTTGATAGAAAAATTACCGTATATACAGATGGTACTTAAGTATATTTCGTGGACATACAGATAAAAGCCGTGATGGAGCTTGGGTTGTAGTGTTAAGTTACAAAACAGAACTTCAGTTTTAGCGACATATGGTAGTTCATCGTTTTCGTCATTTACATGCAGGACCTACTTAGCAAGTGATAAATTGGAATCATTCACGAGATCCGCTTTTGAGGAAGTCGCCACCTTGATTGAAAAAGAGACCGAGCCTTTTGACATCGATGTCCACATTCGACTTCTTATCTTCAACATTGTCTGCAGGATGGCGTTTGGGAAAAGGTACAGTAATGTCTAAATAACATGCTTTACACACATTCGTTTTCAAAATTTATCTTAGGGAACACATAATAATCTGTGGAAAATCAACATGTACATTTCTTAAAAAATGAAAAGACTCCTTGCGTGAACTCTAATCACTTTACTTGCTTTATTTGCAGTGTAGATTGTGTATATGTACTGGGAATTGCCATGTAAAAAAAATACTTCAATACTTTTTGTCGCAATATAGTTGCTTTAGTAAATATATATAATTTGTTAATTGTATCTTGTAATCCACTGATTAGATTTTGTATCGAAACACTTGATCAATAATGGCATTTGAGAAAGAATTGAACATAATTATTGATTGGAATCTTTATAGGAGTGATTGCAAGAAGATCTGTAACTTTCTAAATTTTGTCGGAAACTATAAGACCTTCTACTTTAATCCTTTCCAGCTACAAAATTGACGGGCCTGAATTTGTTTGGCTGAAGAGCAAAGTTGACGAAAGCAATGAAAAGGTCTTTGGAGGCCTCATTCCCGCTGACGTCATCCCTGTCTTGAAACATTTTCCTATCCCATCATCCCTCACTACGAAACGGATCATGAAAGAACTGATTGACTTCCACAAGGCCAAACTGGAGGAGCACAAGGCAACATTAAACAGGGGTTAGCAAAATATTTAGAAATTACAATTTACATACGTTAATTGAGGAGATGATTGAATGTTGTTGTATGGAAACATTCTTATTAAAGCAGAAAGTGATTAATTAGGACAGCAGTTATACTATCTTGGTGCATATTTACTGTATAACCCAGACTACTTTAACATATGCTTTATATATTTATATTTATAAACCACGTCTAACTAGCAGTTGTTATCACTTGATGGCACGTTTAAATTTAAAGATGACGTAAGAGACATTATGGACCACCTTTTGCTGCTAAAAGAGGAGCTGACAGCTGCAAGTGATGACAACGTCAAGGAGTCGCTTTCTGATCTCCGCATCCTTCACACTATAATGGATATTTTCTTTGGTATGTTAAATTCCCAAAATAGCACATTCTTTAGGAAAAATTATCATCAGCTATTTCCTGCACTCATATTCATAATGCTTAGTTTTTTTCAACAGCGTTGGTAATAACTGGTAATAACTGTGATTATAGCTATTGTTGAAAGGGCATATCATTATAAATAAGAGCACAGTTTGAACAATCTACAGAAATATTTTATACTTTAGCGATTATCACATATAACATTACCCACGTCGACTATGACCGCGATTGCTGAATTACTTTGTTACCCAAAGGAGGTTGCGATTAAGAAGCCTTTCTAAGATACAGCTTTGGTGAATACATACCTCAAACTTTAGTATCTGTCTTTATTGTAGTCATAAAGAAAAAAAGACGTCTAATTATGGTTAACAAGGTTATTGTTTCCAGAGGCGAAATATGTTTTTCTACCTTAGTTTTTACCTTGAATATACAAAAGTCAATGAAAAATCCATTTTGATAAATTTTCAGTGATTAACTCATTTTATTTAACCATTGTTTCTTTTTTTTATATAATACACTTCTGATAGGTAATAATAAATGGGATAGAAATTGAACCCACTTCCAATTTTTGTTCAGTTATAATGTGACACCCAAAATAAATATGCAATTATGCATTTTAGCGGGAACAATAACCACATCCGACACGCTGAAGTGGATTGCTATGTATGTAGCAGATAATCCAAAGGTCCAGGCAAAGATACACAAAGAACTAGACGGCTTAGGTAAATATTCATCTCTCGCTATTCCATCCTAATATATAGAGAGAAGTGTTTTGTCCGAAAAGGCACGCATTTCGCAGTTTTAGAAAACGGTGTACTTGAATTCTGCATAAAATAGTAGGCCTATAAACTGGTATGTAAGGGCTAGCTTATCCGCACTCAGTTATTGTGTGTATGTCTATTATTCAACTGTTGTGTTTTGTTAAAAAAATAATTTTATGATTGTTATGCCACACTAAACCTGCAGGAAACGATGTTGGAAAACTCCGTCACTGCAGAAACAAGATGAATTACTGCGAGGCTGTTCAGAGAGAGGTATTGCGCATGCGCCCAGCGGCTCCAGCAGGTTTACGTCATCAGACAATCCGTGACACCAAGCTAGGTTGGACATGAACTTTATTTGCTTGCATATGAAAGTAAAATCAATATGCATGCTTTCACAAAGCCAAATACTACAAACTGCGGATTCCACTCAGTTATTTTTGACATATATCATATCTTTTAACTGAATTAAAATCTGAGCCCTTTTTCAACTGTCTCTAGTATACGAATATTTAATCAGTTTGGTTAAAATGTTCGCCAATGAACCATAGATATGTCGTTTTACCATCTAGGTGGCTACGATATCCCAAAAGGCACTCTTGTCTATGCGAACATATGGGCAATCCACCATGACCCGAAAAACTGGGAATCGCCAGAGGTTTTCAAGCCAGAGAGGTTTTTAAATAAAGACGGCAGTTTGAAAGAGGTGGATCATAAAATATGGCTACCGTTTGCCAGCGGCAAGAGGAAATGTGTGGGAGAAGCAATTGCTAAGGCAAATCTTATGACAATCATGGTAAGAGGGGCTTTATACAGTTGTACGCATGTCCTTCTGTTGAATACATATTGGCACTTTTCACATAGTGCTAGATTGAAACATGGATTATATAACAATTACTTTATCAATATTGGACACTTTGGGGTCATCCATTTTTGATCCTCATTTTCACAAGTCTACAAAGGGTAGAGTTTTTCCAGACCCTCCCCCCCTTCATAGCATACAAAGTGAAAAGCTAAAATATGATGACTTCTGACAGCAATTTGCATCATCATTTTTATTAATATTTGAAAAGCGTAAAGCGGACATTTATCACTTCCCCCAGTGTATAGTTTGTATAGACATGAGAAAAGTTGATAAATATGGACGACCTCTTATACAATTATCATGGTAATTGATGACATGGAGGTTTTTTTATTATGTCATTACGTACATATATGTATGAAAGTTAAAAGAGGCTTACTTGTTAGTAGTAATATAGTCACAATTAATGTGGATGGCTTTAGCAATACTTATACTAACACAGGAGTATTACACATTGGATAATCTCGAATCTAAAACTTGACGGTGATATAAATTTTTACAATGACAGTACGCCTCGAATTGTAATTGTAATATTATGTTTCTGTTCATGATTGTTAGGTATATTTATCAATTTCTTTTACAGGCGTTGTTTTTCCGCCGGTTCAAGGTGAGCTTCCCGCCAGGTGTCCAGCCGGACTTCGAGCCAGTGATGTATGAGATAGCCTGCAGCCCGAAACCACAAAAGCTGATTGTGCAGAAAAGAAAATGAAGTTCAATATAAATATAGTTTTAAAACAATCTGGTGCAAAGATTACAGGCAATGATTGAACCTATAGGGTGCTTTTTAGAAACATTCTGTTGATTATGATGCCACCCTCTGAGCGGTATTACACAAAGCATTGTTTACTTTTACAATCGATTCGGACAATTGAATGAAACCCCAATGCTGTTGCTCTGCACATGCAATTTAGAACATTTGATATTTGTATGTTTGAAATTTATCTTAAACCTGATGTCTACGTAACACTGCAGCACAGTGGACGATTAATGTACTACGAAAATTACAGGCTTTAAAACATTGATGATAACAGATGGCAGTGTAACAGTGCCCAAACCACTAAGTCATCTCAGAGCAAAACTTGCTTACATTGTTAAGAAAAGAATGCCAGCCTGCATAAGATTCGAAATAAAAGACAAAAATAACGGATTGAGGTATGATGAACCAAGTATATGTGAGCTCTCACAACCCAAAATAAATCCACGCAGAATGCTTTGCTGACTCACTATTCTATGGATCTATACAAATGAAAGTTGCTTTACTGCAGATCTCTAAATTATGAGCTCTTCTAAACTTTTCTCCATTATCAATGACCCTTGACTAATTGTCATCCATTCATGACTTATGAAGTTAATTGTCTTATCCCCTTTCTCCATAATGATATATAAAACATTGATATATATTTTACCATATTGATGTAGTAAGCACTTTCTCTCCCCTACCCCCACTTTCAAATAGGGCATATTTTGACCACTAGTACTACGATCACATTCAAGTACATAATTTTCTGAAATAAGACACTTGAAGATCCAATTTTTCTTCATAAGTATAAGACTAAAGCAGGTCACAAATCATTCAAATGCCAAAACATTTATTCAAACAATGTTAAAAAAAATATTTTGATTCTAATTTACGAAAAAGTCATAAAAATGTGACCTCTGACCCATTGTCATTGGCCCTTGACTAATTGTCATGCATCTATGACTTCTGAAATGAAATGTCCCATTCCTTGTCTCTATAATGATATATAATACATTGACATATCTTTTACCCTATACTGATATAGTATAAGCAATATCTTTTCCCTAACCCCATCTGAAAATATAATGTGTGATAGCACATAAAAAGCTACCAGATTGAGAATGCTTTCACATATATTTGGACTCTAGAAACATAGATCTAGGCCTTACTAAAACTCACTGTAAAAATGCCTCTCTTTTTTAATCCCAACAAAGTGTACGGCGTGTCGTATAACCAATATTTATACCACATCAATGAAAGTGAAATGCAAATGCAAACGGTTTTTATTTTTATTTGTATTAAAATACAAATGCTTACTAAAAGTAATATTTCATATTCAAAACACCTACATAAATACCTCAGAATATTACAAGAAATATTTTTCCGTAGTTTCTTTCAGACAGATGCTTAAAAAATCAAAACGTTTGACAATAAAGAAACTAAGCATGTATGTAATTACATTTCTATGAAGCATGGCAAAATGTAGGTAAAACACGATTTTTAATGACTTAATTAAAAGTATCTTTATAAACAATTTACTAAATTACCAGAATTTAAGTTTGTTATTGACCTGCAGCTTTATATATATTTGGTACTTAAGATAATGGACGTGCGACGTACCCACTTACACACAAATATACCCTGTATGTTTTTATACTAAACAACAAACACTTTATGACCAGAGTCCGTCGCACACGGTGAGTTGTTAGCTGATCTCCCACTTTGCAAGTTCTGATTTTTTACTGTTAAAATAAATAAATAAATAAATAAATAAATAAATAAATAAATAAATAAAAATAAAATATACATAGATAAAATAAAGAAAATCATGATATTACCTGTATAAACTCGTTAAAGGTAATTAAAAACAAAACATGTACCTGTATTGATTGCTAGGAGCTGAGCTTGTAATTGATTGTGTAAGTCGGACCAAGCCAGTGCGTGTAATCTCTGCCAAAAAGAAGGTCGCGGATCTGTCATAGGAACATGTGAACGTGACGTTATACAACTTATCTAAATAACCTGAGGGCAAGACCCCAGGCTGGAGCTCAGCCCCAGATAATACTGGAGCGCAGTTAACGAGCGAACTGGAAACAGGTGGCTTGGGGACGTGCACTTGAATGCAACGTTGGCATTGCGGGGTAAATATTGAGTGTAGTTTGTATAAAAAAATGGACAGTTAAGAAATAACGTTCGTGCCTTTCAAGGATATATATTTAAATTTCATTTTTATATGAGTTCGATTTCAAGAAAAGGGTGTTAAAAGATGAGAAATACAAAGTCATAAATAATAACTGCCTGTTTGCATTGCTTTTGTAACATGAAGTTAAAAATGATTACAAACTCATTGCAACGCCATAAAAACAGATGGTATTTGTTAACAGTTAATATTTTAAACCAATTTTTCTTAAACCATCTTGCTAAGTAATGAATTATCTACCAATACAATAAGTGCATGAAGTAGCCTCGCATTGCTTTATGTATTGAAGTACCACAGTATTTAAGTGGCATACAAATATTTCAGGAAAGATGTACGTATTGACTTTGTTGAGTTTACTTACTGTGAAGACCGTCTTGGTCGGGAGCGCGGTATTCCTGTTGGTGATGTCATATCTACAGAGGAAGAAGTACAAACTGCCGCCAGGACCTCCACAGCTGCCGATACTGGGGCACTACTTCGGTGAGATATCTTTGAAAACCAGAGCAAATAAACAAGCAATGGCATAGAGCTCAATGCCATTATTTTGATCACATTAGGTTAAAAATACCAGTCAGATGGGTCCTTACGTTGGTCTTGTGAATTATGTATTTAGGGAATGAGAGTTTATCAAAATGACCCTTATGTTCATTCAGCAATAGTACGAAGGGGAGCGGGGTGCAAGCGGGGCACACGGCGGGCACTCACCCTACCCTCAGCTTCACTGTGTCATTTGTGTCTATATAGTTGAATAGTTGAATATTATTCCAGAATTCAGAAACGAACCTCGAAGGTACGCTGTCTTCAACAAGCTCGGGGAGTCCTTTGATGACATTTTTACTGTTAATTTAGGTACTTTTCTTTGCATCTGTCTTTTTATATCTAAACAATACTTTTGGGTTCAAGCAAACCGTACTTGAACAAAACTTTTTGACATTTACATTTGATTCAGATATTGAAATGGTATGGTTATTGAGTTTTCATGTTCTGATTAAATTGTGATATAGTCGTATAACACTTTGTGTGTTTTGATTTTTTCAGAAGCCTAAAATTTATATCAACTATGCATCATTCAGTTTTAACAGTTTTAATATTAATTATGTTCGTTTACAGGGTTTGGACGCTTGTTCGTTGTTCTAAAATCTGCGGAGAGTGTTCATGAGGCCATGGTTGAGAAGAAAGAGATATTTGCGGGGAGAGATGACGAGAGCTGGAAGTGTGATTATTACTTTTTAAGTTTTATTTACATTTTTTCCTGTAATCAAAACAGCGTATCATGTAGTATATCATTTAGTTTTGTTCAATATTTACATTGTACCCACATTTTAATGATCACATGCTGATGCAAATGTTACGAAATTAATAAAAAATAAAATTATAGATTATAAACTATTAGAAACTTCTAGAACATGTAAGCACTGATCTACCCTAAATGCTTTTAACATCTCCTAATATTCCAATATAAAGGATTATTCTGGTACATATTTAATTATGGAGGAACTAATACAATGGAAAGAGCTTTCAATTCANTTTTTGTATTGAACATTTTTTATGGTATCAGGAAAGAGATTATCCCCGGTGAATCGTTTTACTATCTTGATACATACTTATGTAATGTTAAAGCTATACCTTATAGAGTTTTGTACTCAACACCTTTTTATTGAGAATATATATTCGATCAGCAGTTGTAATTAAATTATGGCATCCTTTCATTATGAAGGTAACATGAGGGACATCACAGACCACCTTTTGCTGTTGAAGGAAGAATTAACAGATGAAAGTGATGATAATGTTAGGGAGTCGCTTTCTGACACTAGAATCCTCCAAACCATGATGGATATATTTCTTGGTATGCTGAATATAAAATGTAACGAAGAATTAGTTATAATATAACAGAACCAGGATGTTTTACAGCTCTACCTGCTTTATCTGTGGTTAATTCACCATTGTCGCGTAATTTTATGATCTATTTTGTTGTATCCAAATGGGGTAGAAAGTTGTTGGTCGCTTTCACGGTGAACCTGAGACACGAACATCAATTTCAGTGACTTCCAGCTAATTTTGCTTTCTTTATTTTGTGCTATATATAAACGTGTCATGTTAGTCGGTTATGGAATAGAAATAGTCTGTTGGATTTATATAACTCATATGTAATGTTTTTTCATGTAATGTGATGCTGAGTGTAAAACCCATATTATGAGTAGGGCCTATTAAGATGTCTTTTAGAAGCTGAAATGTATATGTTGTACATGTAGCTGGAACCCAGACCACATCCGACACGCTGAAGTGGATAATAATGTATGTGGCAGATAATCCGGAAGTTCAGGCAAAGATACACAAGGAGTTGGACGGCTTGGGTAAACATTACTATGCATGTAGTTATTGAAGTCTATATTTATAGGTTTTTGACCGCTGAGACGTCATATCTATTCCACCTTGATCTATGACATTTCTCGGATCAAAGTCAAAGTTACATATATTATTTTATTGTAACGCATTGCGTTGTTGTCACAGTTTTGGTAAATCGTGTGCCTGAACTATATATATATTGTGTGAATGTCCTTTTAAAGATTATCACATATTGTAAAACATTCTAAATGTCCGTTTTCCCACTCCTGACACATAGGAAACGACTTTGACGAACTCCGTCACTGCAAAAATAAGATGAATTACTGTGAAGCTGTTCAGAGAGAGGTACTGCGAATGCGTCCTGCAGCCCCAGTGGGTATACGTCATAGAACGCTCCGTGACACCAAATTAGGTTAGGTATCAACTTCATTTGCTCGCATATAAAATACAGTTACTGATTTTACATCTGATCCATCGTGATAATATATATCGAATATTCGTCATACAGCCTAGAAAGCAAGTGATACAGGGTGATATGAAGTTTAAAGGACAAAGAACGTTTCAAATATCACTGCAGGTTTTGTTATTTCTCTTTACTTTGGGTATCATTTTTTAAATCTTTTTTTATTGCACAGCGATTCGTGCACTTTCTTCTCTGCCCATGCTTTTACACATCTGAATAATAATATGAAGACTTATTTTAGCCATTGCGGTTTGAATACTTGGCAATGCATCATTGATATGTCGGTTTACATGTACACTGTTTATATCAATCCACATGTAGGTGGCTACGATATCCCAAAAGGCACTATTATTTATGCGAACATATGGGCAATCCACCATGACCCGAAAAACTGGGAATCGCCGGAAGTTTTCAAGCCAGAGAGGTTTTTAAACAAAGATGGTAGCTTGAAAGAACTGGACAAAAAGACGTGGCTGCCGTTTAGCAGTGGCAAGAGGAAATGCGTGGGAGAAGCACTTGCCAGGGCAAATATCACCATGACCATGGTAGGTGGAGCTAGAAAAATTATGTTCTATACAATACCTATTGGGCACGTTTACAACGCATTACCGGTATATGTATTTCGTGGAATAAGTGTTTTCTTTATATACATGAAATAGCACAAAATCTACATTATTTTAATTTGAAGTGGCTTTCGGACTTTTGAAATGAATCTTCCCATAAGGTTTTTTTTCCTTTTTTTCTGCAATATTTCTTCATATTACATCTTATTTTCATCTATAAATATTGTATGTTAATTATTCAAGTATCAATATTCAATAATATTTTTTCCAGGCATTGTTTTTCCGTCGGTTTAAGGTGAGCTTTCCGCCAGGTGCCCAACCGGACTTCGAGCCTATGATGCTTGAAATAAATGGCAGCCCCAAGCCTCAGAAGATTGTTGTTCAGAATAGAATATGACGTTCCACAGAATAATATTTTACAATACTTATTATAAAACAAGTCTTCTTAAATGACTGTATTCTATATTTGAATCAATAAGTTAGCATGTAGAGGGTCAAGTGTTAATCATTTATGGGGGCCTTTTCTCGAAATACATTTTTTAATCAAAAGACAGCAGGTTAAGCTTATTCTTGAAATGAAAAAAGTGAAATCACAATGCAAATAGAAAAATATTCCCTTTTGTAAAATTACCCAATGGGCTACATACACGTTATCCACCGGTTGCTGCATTCACTTATTGTTTGATATGATGTTTTATAAAACTTCAAAGTCTATAATAAATCGGCCAATTTTTCTTGAACTCAATCATATTGGTCCGCCTTATTTATAATATCCCCATAAGCCAGCATGAAAGGTTTAATTTAAGCCTCGGTCACAACCGGACGCACGACTTTCATGATCGTACGTCCTCTGCGATTTTTGGGTGTTGCGGAGGCCGTGGAGTTCGTAGAGGTAGAGGAAAGTCTGCCTTGCGAGTCGCAAGGGCCACATGAGATGTCCTTTCAAGCAGGGACGCTAATTGCAAGGAGGGATGGCCGTGGAGATTGTACTTATTTCTTGAGTTTGTCTTGCTTCCTGTGTGCGTGGCACACACTCACCACTTACGAGGGGAATGCAACGCACGGCGAAAGTAGTGCCCTTTTCCGTCAGTTTTGCTTCACACTTGCCTCACACGTTTGTGGTAACGTACTGACGGCGTACGTCAGTTTTGCTTCCTGTTCTCCTCTTCTTTCTTCTTCCTCTTCCCTTTTTTCCTGCTATGTAAGCTTCTTTCTCTTGCCTTTTGGAGGCATATTAGAAAGTAAATCGAGCAAAAATTTGAAAATTTTGAAAATTGTTGTACACGTAACACAGTCGACGTTCATTGTAAAGACAAGAGCGTGCGTCGTGAGCACGCCTTTTATACACCAGGCGTGGGGGTGAGGCACGTGCGACGCATTCCCGGTGTTCTCTCGACTTTGTTCGTTAGTTGTGAGGGCGTGCGCCTTACTCAACACGCAAAGGGCACTTGCTCCTTCATTGCTTGCGACGTGCGTCTTGCACAACGCGCGTCTCTCTTGCTAACTCCGTGCGAGTGGAGCAAGTTACGCTTGCGGCCTCGCTGTTCGCAGGCTATTCGTAGAATCTTTTGGACAAGTCCAACAACCTCCGTACGTGCTTACGGGCTGTCTGCGAACTCGAAATTTCGTAAGAAGGACTTGCGTGGGACGTGAGATTCTGCGCAAAATTTGGACGCAAACAGCCCGTAAGAGCCCGTACGGCCGGTTGTGACCAAGGCTTTACAAAAGGGCGTTTCATGTTGCTACCAGCAGCTCTCTATATAAAGGAAGATCAAATATGCACATGTTGCATGAAAGGATTGTCACTGTGTCACACAACAATAGCATGTAAGGATATAACAATAGCGTGTAAGGAGCTATTTTCTGACAGTCTTCCAAATTATCTTTTAAGATAATTAATTACATTGATCCATCCTCCGTGTTCGACCTTATATTATAGCTGATCACACAGTTCACAGTCGATGCGTCATAAGTCTTGCTTTCACCGGTCTGTTTGTCTTTCTGGTCGAGCAGACAGCGGGTTGCCTGTCAATAATACATGTATAATCATGATGCAGTGGAGTGGCAACTAGACAGTGTTACTCACTATAAATGCACTTCAAATCAAAGATGGACATCTAAAAGGGATTTTGATAAACGATACAAGTAACACCTGTAAAAAAGTATATTTCTGTGAAACCTCTTCAATTTACTATCACTACATGCACAATATCAACCTGATGCAGGGAAGGTGTAGAATGCTACCACAGGCAATAATGTCAGCGGGGTATCTAATATAAAACCTTTTATTTACAAATAAAGGGTTTTGTATTAGATACCCCTTTATTTACAAATAATAATAATAATAATAATAATAATAATAATAATAATAAGTTTATTGAGCGCTAAATGATAGGAATACATTTGCAGGCTCTCTAGACTACATTATTTACACAATATATAAGGATATACATTTATATATGTTTACATATGTAGTATACTTAATTACACATGTGTTAATGCATGTTATGCTTTAAAATTAATTAAGCTATTCACAGCATTACTGGCTGTAGTAAGACTACGGAAAAATCTCTTTTTTTCAAAAACCAAACGGATTTTACTTCAGAAGGGCACAGGGACCGTTTTACTGTACATAAAGTCAGGGTGTCATAGTCTATTTGTCACGGAACATTGGGGTTCATATCAATAATAAAATCTACCTGTGGAGTGCCAACTTAAGTGAGCCTGCATCATGATGTTCACTTCGCACATCAAATTATAGATTAATACCTAGGGCGCATTATGATTTGAGATGCAGGTGACACCTGTACAACAGCAAAAAAAAAAAAAAAAAAAGGAAAAAAAAAAAAAAAAAAAAAAAAGTTTCATGCAGCTTTTTAAAATGTAAAGAAAGATACAAGTAGGGCACGTAGGGCACATGATTCTCACGTTTACACCACGATAGCGAGTTCATGTAAGGAGAGAACTGATTACACTGTACATGGTTTAGGTACATTGTATAATAAACGTTGCTTTCATTGTTCTGTATGATAAAGATAAAAGCAACACATTACGGGAAGAGAACATCGCTGCATGATTTCGATAAGCATGGAGGCACACGTACTGTGTACATACACAACTCTACAGGTAGCCTACATGACAAAGCTGGCAAGCATTGGGTTTGACGGATTTGAAGGATACCTTATGAAGGACTCAATTTCCCATCAATGTTTGACAATAAGCCGCAAGACTGACCCTCCTATAGCTTCCACGCAGGGGGAATATTGATGTTTGTTAATTTATCCGTCTTTTCTTGCAACCCATTGTGTCTTGTATTTGCCTTAGACCTTATTCACGGCTGAGCCAAGGCCAAACGAAAGCGAGGCTTAGAACACAAACAAACGGCCGCATATCACCGCTGTGTACTACATGTGTGTTGAACGGATGACCAAGAAATAATTTTAGCATCTGGGCAGGCCGCTGTGACAGGTATGGTAGTCCGCAAGGAACCGTAGTCCGTTCCACATTAGTTTGTAGGCCTACAGGTGACGTTCGTCCCATATACTAACCGCAATACTCCGCCTTACTAAATCTGTATTAATCATAGGGGACCCTGGTCTTCCATTCCTACATGTGGGACTTTCTTTCCAATTTTTCTTGCTCAATTATTCCTTATTGATGTCCAGCTTTTAAGAGTTTTAGTGTCGGGACATGCAGTGAAAGTAAGCTCATTACCTGTGCTATATTTAATGGGTAGGGCCTACATTTGGGACGAAGAAACCCAATGTATGTAGTTACTAGGTTCAAGTACTATTTTTAGTACAGTGCGTGGAAAAGATAGAGTGTCAGGATTATCAACGAACTAAACACACTTTCGTCTTGTGTGGTCAACACTCTTACATTTGACATCGGTTTCAGACACGATTGCAAACAAACTGACAGCTCTAATCCAAATGGGGTCACTTATGGTAGACGCTCTTATTTTGTCTGGTGGACGGAGTAATCTAAGGGTCAGGCAGAAAGGCATTTTAAAGGTACAGGATCGCGACTGTGACAAGAGGCGAGATGCTAAAAGGAATGATATAGGCCTAACTGCAGGTCTGTCAAACAAGACACGCAACAGTTTACTCAGACTTGTATACTGCTTTATGATAAGTGGGGTTCTTATTTGGTCTATATTAAGCTTGATTATTGATTTTGACCGTGTGAGATGCATGTTTGCTCTTGTCTTTGTGTCAATCGAGATTTGTTTTTACAAAACAATATAAAATCTAAATTAATAATAATAAAATAGAAGAAAAAAATTAAGGGGATATTTATAATCATTTTATTGTTTTGGCGAATTGATTCTAAAGCTCGAACAGAACGAGAACTGCCTTTACTTTGCCCATTGTGAGTCTTAATTGATGGAATTTTTTTACCAGTTAGCACGTACATATTTTCACTTCGACCCAGGCCATTTCTTGTATCAAAGTCCAAGTTTCATATAACATTTTCTTGTACATGTAGTTGTTAACTGTATTTTGGAAATAATGATGTTACATTTGTTGATTTTGTTTTGAAATTCATGAATCAACTAATACATGTATCAAAGGTGTTTACACGTGGCAGAAGGAAAATAGTGAGAGACAAGTCTTATCATCTCAGGACGCCCTATATTTTGACTTACAAGGACATGTTTGTTTAAGTCTAAAAGAGACATTGATCAAACACAACATTGGCAATATAAACTGTAATCAAATGAAATGTTTAAACAGCTGAAGTAAAACAATCAGTCGAAACGTGTTTCTTTTCCTTACAAACGCATTAATAAAACGCGATCTGGACATATGTACTCTTCACAAATGAAAAGTTTAAACAAGAGAGCCGATCACGGGGCAGCAATATAGAAAAGCAACCCCAAGGCATTCCTTCTTTGTTATTCTAGGTGTAAGAACATGATACATTCGTGAATCTCCCAAAAGATGGGCTAAAGAGACTATAGATTTTAGATCGATTTATCCCCGTGGGGAGTCTCACTAGATTACTGTCAGATGATCCGGTGTGGCATGATAGACCCGTTCCGTGACAAAATCGTTCTGCACATGCGCATTAAGGGTAGATTGCAAGAAGGAACTTCCCGTATGACGATGTAGTCCTAAGTAGGCGCTATGTTTGCACTGAACTATGAGCTTTCAATTAATAATTCAGTGGTTTTCGTCATGAGAGAGTATGTATTTGATAATCTTATAACTATACGGGGGATGTTGGAAATGAGCTTTTGATCGTGTCTGAACTGTTTTGCTCTGTGAGAAAAACGTGGTAGATCTAAGACTCGTAGTTAAATGTTTTCACTCTACAATGTTCTTTCAATTCAGAGTTAAGTTATAAACTGTCTTCGATTCTTCTCAAGACCCAGCCGCGATGTTTTTGTTGTACTACTACCTCTTCCAACTGAAATTAATCTCTATGACACTTTTTAATGCCTTCCCAGAATGATGGATATTGCTGCGGTGCTAAGCTGGCTTACTTTGAAGACGGTATTGGTCGGGGTCGCGGTGTTCCTGTTGGTGATGTCATATCTACAGAGGAAGAAGTACAAACTGCCGCCTGGACCTCCACAGCTGCCGATACTGGGGAATTACTTGGGTAAGAAGAAAAATGAAGGACATTTTGCTTTTAGGGGCTGGTTTTAAATTACGGGGGGGGGGGGGGGGGGGCAGGGGGATCTCATAGGAGCAAATGGCACCCTCACTTATTTGCCACCAAACTCCATGCCCCACCTTT